AGGAGCTTCCTTGCAGAAGCACGTGGTCTTTTTGATTATTTTCAAATCACTAGGAAAGCAGCCGCGTTAGCGCATGTAGTAAAGTTTAAAGCTGGCCTACGTGGCGCCATTTCTATATTGATTTCCAAGTTACGGCGTTTGCTCCAAGATCGGCGAGCCTCACGCGGTCCTTCTCTTCTCTTAGGTATGCAGACCGTCGGGCCTAGGGAATTTCGGCCAAATTCGACTGCTTCCTCTTTACTCTGAAGCGGGCTCTCGGCCGCGAAAAGTCAACTTGCAACTTTTTCATTGGTTAATATCAGCTGATCGCAAATTTCAGCTGGAGCAGTCTTCCTGAAATACTCGTCACGTTTTCGACGAACTCAAAACAGCGTGAAAACATTGTTTTGCCCTTGTGTTTACCAGTGCTGTTGTTTGGCCTCATCGGTGGCTGGCTGTGGACGAGAAGTTTGTGGTATACGTAGTATTTGCTGTAAAATCATTGTTCTTAGCGCTCTGCACTGACTAAGATTATTACTTTAATTTTTTATAGCTGTGGAAGGAGGTATCTAACTGTTGTCTGCTTGAACATAAGTTAGTGGTCCTCGTTTCTCGATCAGTGATTTAAAACAACGAATTAAAAATGATGATTTAATTTCCATTGTTCATAGACCCGTTTCAACATCGCACAGCACCGCCTTCATCAAGCTTACGGGTCATAACGAGGATCATCAATTATTTTAAGTTAACATTTGGCTTTCACGTAACAGTGTGAAAAAAATATGACACTAAAAGCAGAGCCTCCATAAAATATTTGATTTTCTTTAATCCTAGTTCTTTCGCTAATCTTTGAACGTCTTCCTCAACTTCTTCCATACTTCCCATGATCACACTTCTTGTTATTCCTTTCATTCTCCTTATTATTCTTCTTTTTCTTCTCATTCTCTTTTCCCCTTCGTCTTTTTGTTTTCCCTCTCTCCTTTCATTTTCTCCTTCTTCTCCATCTCCTTCGTTTCTTTCTCTTTGTCATCTTCTTCTTTTTGTTGTTCTCCGTCTAGTTTTTCTTCATCTTCTCTTCGTCTTTCTCGTTCTCCTTCTCATTCACCATCACATATCCGCATTATCGGTTCAGTCATGTGACCGCAACAAAGTTTAAGCCCGCAGCGCACGGTATTTACATTCGTTTAAAGCAGTGCAAGGCTGTATCATAATCTTCTGTGATGGCCAAGAGGCCAAGAGTTTTTAAAGGTTTGTCGTCAGCGCTTTATTCCCAAGTGTTATATCGTATTATTGTCATATCTCAGGTTATTGCATGGCCCGATCCTCCTTTCTTGCGTTTCGTTTCAAAATGTATCTAATGCCTCTTGCACGTAGCGGGTTGTTATGTATGTCAGATTTTGGTACGAAGGAAGTTCTATAATTCTCTTCCAGTTTTGGGTTCTAACTTCGCACGAAGCATTCATCGAATTTTCTGTTGGATCGGCAGGCATACCGCGTTTAATCTTGGATGCGTTTCTAAAACATTCCTTGTGGTTTTTGAGGTACCTTTTAATGATCATAAGATCGCAGCCCTTTCGTAGAATTGCCATCTCTGGCGCAGCCCCCCCCCTTCCTGAGCAATCACTCCCTTTAGAAGTACGGCCTCAAGAGTTCTAGGCGATCTTGCAGGAGTACATCGAGATATAGGTCCAAATTTTGGTCACATTTATTGAAGGAATTTTTTCATCGGATTTTGCTTACTCGGTGTTGTGCCTCGTTGTTTACCGAACAAAAGGTCGGGAAATATTCCGTTTATCCAATTGCATTGAACAGCGACATCGAAAGTTCTTTGCTGCCTTCATAACATGTAAGAAGCGATGCCGAATGGGGTCCGTTTCCTGTCCGACTCATGAACACTGATTCGCACCTGAAGTTGGCTTGTTTACGTCGTGTCGAGCCAGAGTAAGAAACATACCACTCGTAGAAAGAAAAAAAATCAACGTCATTTCTCTTTGGCCGACGTTTGTCGATCACGTTCGATGATCCGCAAGATTCTCCATGATTTTCAGGCAAATCTGTAGGGATTTAAGGCAAGGATTCTCTATCTACGAGCGCTCGATGAACACGGCTGACACCTGCTGTGTATTCTGTACACAGAACGACGTCAAATTGATCATTTTCATGGTAATGACACTTGCAAATTGTCTGTTGTCCTGTTGTTGCCAGTCGCTTGATTCGTGTTCATACCTGACCGCGTACGTATACTGGTCAGCCAGCCGGAGCTGCGCCCCTGTGAGCCGCACCGTCTGGCGGTAGCAGTCGTATGTGTGTGCACTGATGAACGTGTCCCCCCGTCCATTCGATTAGTCGGTTATTGCATTATGTGTCACTCATCTCAGCTGTCCTCCCTTTCGTATCCTCGGACGTAGCCACGACCACGATCGTCCGTCGATCGGTCGATCGGTGGACATGTTTATTACGTTTCCGCTGTTGCTAATCCTGTGTTGTTTATAAGCGACCAGGCCACGTGGCTGTCGTCTCCGAGTCGTCATCGTCTACCGTCTACCATCGACGTAATGCGCATGACGGGTTTTGTTTTTTTTATAGTTATCCGCCGTTTCCTGCCCTTTTTCATCCTCGTCCATAGCTTCGATCACGTGGCTACCTGCTGAGTCGTAGAAGCCTCCTCGGTCGACGAAGAAGACAATCAGCGCCATGACGAGCACGTTCATCATCGAGGAGTGGCGCGACCTTTGGGTCCACAAGAGCGACTTCCTGATCATCTGCTTCGCGTACGTGTTCTCTTTCTCAGACTTCGTCAATCTGCCGAAGATGGTCGCCGAAAACGGCGGAGGTGAGTCTGGTCACCGCCCGCTGTGCGTTG